TAGTGTGTGTGTGTCTGTGTGTGTATATACATATATATATATATATATAGATATATGTATCATGCATGCATTCAATTTTGACATAAACATAACTGAATGAAGTGTATACACTACACACATAAATGAAGTTTACCATTTTGCACATCCTGGAGAGTGCCTTTCAGGCTAGGTATAACAGCGAACAATGTATTCAGTGCAGTTCCCGTAGCACCTAACCCATCCTTCTCTGGATCTTTGACTTTCTTGCCTTTGGGTCCCGTGTCCTGCACACTGTTGTTGCTTTTCGTGCGCGACGGTCGACTAAGTGGGGCTGGTTGTTCGGTGGAGCTGGACTCAGGGTCGGAATCGGTATCTGTTTTGTTGTTGAGAATGGTATCGGTTACATAATTCTATATCTGGCAGTGAACGCCAATGGTTAGCAGGAAAGGTCAAATAGAGCATTTCAAATACATAACAAAAAGAGAAGACAAAGTCCAGTTGATAAAGATCCCTACCGGATGTGATGTCCCAGATAAACTCCTTCATTAGTCCAATCTCCTCCGCAGACGGCAGCTTTCCCATGTCTGGAGAAACAAATCGCGAATACGACACAACTTACGACGTGCACAGAAGGCAACTCGAATAACTGCTTGACTGATGGCCACTGAATCATCTATAAAGCCCGATACATTATGTCTGGGGGTTGCGACTTGCTTGCGAAGTGTTCACGACATATGACTTACATCTCCGCCCATAGATGCCTTTGGTGCCGTATTTCGTATATTGAAGTATGAGATATCGGTAGCAACCTTTCTTCACGATGAAGGTTATGAACGGGAGGTGGCAGATCGGCAGAAGATACCTGGACGTAAGTGAAAGTGAGTCAAAACTTCAGCTTCGCGCAGTAGCTATATACACGTTGTTCGGCCATTCTTACTTCACGTAGTCAACTATCCAGAATACCATATCGCATTGAAACCATGACTCGCGATATGCTGGTGATAAACTCATTCGTCTAAGGTAATGTATAAACTTCACGAGAGATCAACGTAAAAAGGGCTAACATGCGGAAGCAGCAGTAACACCAGTCGATA